CACCCGAGGACCAGTCGTTCCTTTTTCCAAATGCCCCGGTTCTAGCAGAGCTAGCTGTAGGTAGTCCGCAGTTTTGCCAAGGACCGGTCCCCCAAATTTTTTTGCCCCCTAAGAACCCACTTTGCGTCCTGGTCGCCCGCTGCCAAAAATGCGACACCTTGACACAAACGCGGAAGCCCACTATACCGCAGCCAAAGGGCTGCAAATTATAGCCGATGTGTCCGAGGCCCACCTCGGCCCCTTCAGTACCAAAGAACTCACCGAATGGAGACTATACCTGACTTATGTTCTCTTTCGAACCCCTCTTCTTGACCTAACCACTTGGGCAACTACTTCGGCCGCCCTGACCGATCTGTCAAGGTGGTTTCAGCCTTGAGGATACCACCAGTCTGCCCTCGACGGAGATTGCTGCCAATATGTCGCTGATACCCCAGGTTCCTGCAGCGACTTCTCCCATTGTGACCTGAGCAGCTTTTCCAATCAGCTTTGATAAGTAGTCTCAACTCGGCTTTTATTAGGTGTTGCTGTCTGAACAGGTTGATAACCTCTTTGCTGAAGACTGCAGCATTTCTAGCCCTCCAAATCTCTTGCATAATCACCCCCCGACAGGCCAGAGCAACATAACCCCAACCATTGAGGTAATTAAAATTGGGGGTGGGGAGCGTACCAAACAGAATCCAATCGTCCGACCATTGGAAGGTGTCTTGAGATAACTCTTTCCAGAAAGTCAGCCACCATTGCCAGGTAGCGTCCGCCAACGGACAAAAGATCCACAGATGCGAGTTTGACTCCCAGCCCCATTTGCATCTGCTGCGTTCGGCTGGGATGTCCATTCCTCTGGAGGACAGCCAAAGAGATGTAGGAACCACCATCAGACTCTACGTCCAGTGTAACGTCCAGTTAGGGGCCTGAGCGATTGATCCCTTGATTTTCCTTGTCTCCTTGATGCCATGTCCTTCGGGGTATTCCCCACTGCCTGTAGCAGTAAGGCCCTTCCCACCCTTGGACTGCAGAGGCAAAGAGGAATAGCGTCATCGTGAACCTCTGTTCCCTTCCTCCAACCTTTCAGCAGGGGTTCTATTAGAAAGTTTTCGGCGTCCCCCAACAAGATCTGTTGCTCCCGCTGTCCCAACACTCTCACTTCCTGCCTGCCAATAGTTGAGGGGACAACTTTTTCCTCCATTCTTGTCCGTGTTATCCCTTTCCCTGTACTTGGTCCACTTCTCCATTCCTCCACAATCCACCCCCCTCCCAAATCCGGCCCTTTGACTCTCCAGACATTCGAATCTTCATCCTCTACTCGTAACCAAGTACCGGCGGCGTGTTCCAAGTTGCTACGCAGGAGCTCTGACCAGTGATGTGGGATTGCTGCGATCAATTTGGCTCTGTTATCCTCCATATGGCGGACTCGGGGAAGCCTCTGGCGCAGTAGTTCTAGCGAAAGCCAGTCTTCCCTCTCCTCATCCCACAAATGTTTGATGAGGTAACCCCCCTTTTCAATCCAAGTCTTTCCAAAGTTACCTGCCCCTTCTGCTGCTGAGAAGACCGAGCTATCCGGGGGACAGATAAGGGGATTGTCGAAGAGACATTGCGCCTCAATTTCTTTTTGTGTAGTAGGAGGGCACAACACTTCAGGCTGCAGCTTCCTCCATGCTCGTAGAATACCCCGCCAGACCCTTGATTTGAACCTTCTGTTTAGAAATGAGGGGATCAGCATGCACTGCCACACATCACACTCCTCTTCCAAACTCAATTCTTTGATCAGTATATATTCAGCAATACGGACCCATATCTTAGAACGATCCTCAAATAATGCTTTGAAGACCCACTTCGCTAACAGGGCCAAGTTTTGAGCTTGTGGGTCTAGGGCGTAACGCGACTTCGAAAAAACAACCGGGAGGTACTGGTGGTGGGGATGGGTAGGTGGCCTATCCTGTCAGGACAGCCATTGGCTGCCGCTACCAGCTTGGCCTCTACAACACCCTGGCCGTTCAATCCAGGCCGTTGGCCCCGTACCTTCGGCCCGACGGCCCGGATTATTTGCCCGTTGGAGAGGGCCGCGGTAAATACCCGTGGTTTCTTGCGGCGGTACCTTCCGGTGGGGTTTTGTGTTCGGGCAAACCGGTTCCCGTAGGCTGCCTATTGGAGAGGGCCGCGGCGTGTACTGTTTTTGGGTGTACTATGGACTTCTGCTTTCCTATCCTAAGCTACTACGGTCGCCTTCGACTTCACTACTCTACACGGCACTACCACGCTCGATTTCGACTTGGCATGTGGATACACAAACACACACGACATCCGGGCAGACTATCGGGGTTCAACTTCCTGTTGAGTCGGTGGAAGTCCGACGAAACAGCTTCGCTTCGTCATGCCCACGCACGCAGTCGCAAAAGAAAGAGAGAGAGAGAGAGAGAGAGAGAGAGAGAGAGAGAGAGAGAGAGAGAGAGAGAGAGAGAGAGAGAGAGAGAGAGAGAAACACACCCAGACTGA